GGATTCTGTGGAGTATCTGTGTGGCAGTCATAACAAGAGCTGTTTGAATTCTTTAAATCCCTAGGAAAGGTGCTTCACTGCTTCCTTTATTATACACCGGACCTTTATAAAAGGAAAGCCGATAACGCCGTCCCAGAGTTCAAAGTAACACTCGTTCGCGAAAACAGTCAGTCAGATAAGAGATATTTTCTGCCATATCCTGCTGATATATTTTGAACCTTTAGCGGCAGGCTGTTAAACCCACAGGTGAACTTTGAACATTTTGCTACTGTTATAAAAACTGCTTCTTGCGTAGCTAATCTAAAGAAGGATTATGAGCTACATAAAACTGATCAGAGTTCATTTAAGGTTTACCATAATTCAGTTTTCATTAATTATATCCTCAATTTAGGTGCTGCTGCCTTAGGATGATCATAATTAATTTTTCTTCTGTCACAGAAAGCCTTAATAAAGGCATTAGTTACACTTGCTCATCTGTCTATGAAGAGAAAACATGAGTGGCCAAGGATACGCAACTAATTTCAATGTGACAAGCATTTTATTTCCTTTTATAGGCTATTTATTCCGTCTGGAATTTAATCTTGCAGCTGAAGTAATATTGTTCACCAGTTGTTCTCTTTTACTGAACTGAAGCAATTAAGATGAGCTTACCACATTTTCAGGACATTGCCGTTTGAGACCTAATTCAAGAACAATATTAAGGAGGCCAGTGTTAAGTGCAGTCAGACTCTCTGAGCACACCAGTAATCATTATGAATTCTTCTTAATGTCTTTCCTTCACTTCAGTTTTTTTTCTTTGAAGTTCAAGTAAAAGTTCAGAAAAGATTAAAGAAATTTATTGGGCGATTTTCTTTTTTTTTGGCCATTTCTCGACAGTCATGCATTAGAAGACAACATAATACGACTGCTGCACTGAAATACAAGATCATAAACTGTGTTATGGTGCAGCTAACAAAATGAATTAATTGAAAATGTATTGTTTTACAAATATAATTACCACAAGATGAATTGGTGTGAGTGTATATTATATTATGAGATATTATAGGTATATTTACAATGCTGTCTTGAAAAGGTTAACTTTATTTTTCCCTGAAAAAGAGGATCTAGTATCCTTTGTCCCTAAATTTCTGCCTAAGGTTGTATTTCTATAACAGCTCAATTTCATAGTGGTCTGGGGGTAACCACATGACTGCTCTCAAGGAGATGAATAGCTGTGATCATCTTTTAATTTTGTGTCATGGACAGCTTACAGTACTTGCTTTAAAATTGAGCCAGAGTCTGAGTGTATTGCTATGATTATTTATATCGTTTTGGTGAGTGGAACATGGCCATTGCTTTCAGATCATTCCCCAAAGTGTCTTCTTTCTGTGATAAAACAAAATAACTTTCTGGTCCTGAGTGGTGGTCGAAGTAAAATATTAATGGGTTCGATTCAGCAGGAAGTCTGTGGAGCAGCAGGAGCAGGAGGAAGAAAGATCGTACAACAGATAAACACCAAGCCTCTGTGGACATTCCTGCTCTTTTCACATAAACTCTTCTAATGTGTAAAACAGAAGAGACGTCATGTACACATGGTGCTTGTGTTGGAGAAGCTTCTAGTATAGCACTGTTTGGTAATGTAAAAAGTAAAATTAGAAATAAACTGACTCTAAGCTAATCTTTCAATTTTAGAGGTTTTCAGTGCCACAAATTTTGGTCACTGTTTTAGCCTAAATATACTGTAAAATGTTACTATTGCAACATATTGTTTTTAACACAACAAAGATTTTTGTCACTCACCCTGAGTCTTTGATAAATGTGTTTACTTATTTTGATATTATGTTTAAACCAAACAAACAATTCAACGAGTAGGTTTCTTTCTCCAATGCGAATCTAATAAAATATTCTTATGTTGTCTCGTATGTTTTGGTATGAATGCCCTGTTATACGGACCATTCTTGGGCATTTTACATGTAAGCATTAGTGACGGTTTGTAACAGTGGAGCTGAATGTGACAGCTTGAATTATTACAAGAACTGGCTTTGTTTGGAGACTTTTATGGAAATAATTCAGGAACTTTTACATTTTTCATCTGTTCCGTCTTCGTCTGTAGATGCTCACATACTTCAACATGAAAAATTTACACACAGCTGTAAACTCAGGATGAAGCCTGGCCTAGAAAATACACAGTATGATATCAACAATCATTTATACAGCATCACCCGAAATACCTTCACAGGACGACCTATTGAGTACTATAATTTTAAAGCGGTTTTAATGTTTAAGCCAGAGGTGACAATTTTTAGGAGAGGGTGTAGACTTGGGGAGATGTTTGGTGATTGAGTTGCTTTTGTGGTTTGTTCCTTAAATACAGTCCACTAAAAGACAAACAACAGGACTCTTAAAATATTTTAATCATTTTATTTTCCAACCTAAACCCAACAAAGCATTTCAAAAACATACTTTCAAATTATGTTGTGCAGTCTTTCCAACACTGTATAAACTTTGGAGCTGAGACCACCTTTGTACATATTTATACAACCAGTGACAAATAATGAATATGAAAATAACAGAACTACCCATATATATTGTTATATCACATGGACGGTGAACTGGGTCAATATATTTTTATTTAACTTACATTACAGTTTCAATCAAATTTCCAAAAAATGTAGTTGTGACAAACTAATTAGCCAAAATAGTTCCCTTAGCACCGTTAGTTTAACAAAGCAGACAAACGAAGCACATTGAGTGACATTAATGTAATTAAATCCATGTAACTAAAAATAGTTTTCATTTTTAAATGCATCAAATCATAAAAAAATAATTTCCTTAATGCTAGAAGCTGTTGTCACTTTATATTGAAACTGATTCTCTCTAAACGCATCCTCACAGTAAAGAGTATAAAATAACTGTAACACATAATAAAACCCCCATACAACAGAGTACATACACCAGCCAGTAGTTACAAATGCTCAAGCTCAACCAACACCTAATTAATAAAATATGTAATTTGCAACAAAAAAATAAATAAAAATTTTTTTCTGGACCACTGCAATATTCTGTAAACCTTGGTCGAATAATTAAAGGCAAGAACTGAGTGGAACCTGAAATGATCGCAAATGTGCTTTAGCCATGATGTAGCTGCAGTATAATATATTACAGGAATAGATACAAATTAAAGATAATAATGTGTACATCTGACAAAGGAAGAAAAACAAACAAACCCCCCCCCCCCTCCCAAAAAAAACCAAATAAAAAAATAAACCCAACTTCGGTCTCTGGTTTGATGTTACGTCAGACGCAAGAAGTTCAACAGTACAATAAATTCACATTGTTCAGTTAGGTCATAACAAGTGCGTCAATAGTAAAACCACAATGACGATAAGCTGTAATATATTGTAAAGCAATATCTGCTTCTCTACAATGTTAATTCATTTAGACCAATCTGTTTTTTTTAACCTTTATTTTACTTTAAGTATGTGAAACACTTTAGGTTTTGAGCTTTATGTTGCAAGAGAGTGTCCCAGTGTAGAAACTAGAGGTCCTGCGGAAAACCCAGGACCCTCTTGTTGTGAGGCAATAGTGCAAACCACTGAACCGTCGTGCTAACTTGAGAAATAACCAATGGTGTTGCATTATGTTCGGTGACGTCACTTTGACAAGTAGTAGGGAGGTAGTCACCGAAGGTATGAGTTTGAATCCAATGTGCACTATGTAACCGGAAGGTCGCCGTTTCGATCCCCGGGCTCTCTGTCCTGGTCGTTGTGTCCTTGGGCAAGACACTTTACCCTACCGCCTACTGGTGTTGGCCAGAGGGGCCGATGGGGCGATATGGCAGCCTCGCTTCTGTCAGTCTACCCCAGGGCAGCTGTGGCTACAACCGTAGCTTGCCTCCACCAGTGTGTGAATGCGAGAGTGAATGAATAGTGGCATTGTAAAGCGCTTTGGGTGCCTTGAAAAGCGCTATATAAATCCAATCCGTTATTATTATTATGATGTGGTTACCAGTCAGCTTTCCATAGCTTGTGAAGTTTGAGGTTCTGGGAACTCATGGTAGTGTTGTACAGACATTTTGCGACTATACTTCCAAGCATTTCACCATGTTCAGGAAGAACTCTGTGACTGATTTACTGCTGGTAATTAGTGGTAAATAAACGTTGCTATACCTCACGTTGTATACTTCTACACCCACACTCATTACCGAGTGAGTTACACTTATAGCTCTGCTGTGATGATGCTCTGTCTAAATAACAAGGCCACACTACTACTCCTGTTACATCTTTCCACACAACAATAGTCAGTGGGAAATATCTCTGTATTGTTCCCTTTGAACCTGTTGTTAGGCATCATGTGGTTTTTTGTTGTTGGCAGTGGCACAAATTTTTTACTTCATACAATTTACTGCTTCAATTTTGGCAGTTCACAGTGATCGTATACTGTTTCGCAGAGTGATCAGAAGCATACTCATGAACTCCAACTGATATTCAGCATGCCAGAGGGAGCTGTTACGACGAAGGGTCAACACTGCAAACAGGCACTGTTTACATAAATCTGATTTATTTGCCAATAAAAGTCTTTGAAAATTATGAAACGCCCCAAATTGTTCTTCATTAGATCACAGAAACATGTAAAAAATAAGCTAAATAAAAAAAGTCAAGCGGCAAATTACAGGAAACAAAATTTGTGCCACGTCCGCAGCTTTGGCCACGGCAGATCTAAAGTGCTGCTTTTATAACTTCACTATTCTGTGAAAAGGCAGCTTGAAAACATGCAATCATGACTAACATGTCAATCACAAATCGTCATTTCCACTGCATAATTGTTTGACTAAAGACAGTTGTACTGTGCTGATTGTCAGCCACTACACAAATAAGGAGCAGGATACATACTACATGCAAGTCTACTAACAGCAGTATTCAAACTGGCATGCAGTGGCAATTTCTAAAAGACAAGGTTGCTGCTTATAGGCACCCTGAGATTATGGCATTGCCACTTTACTAAGATTCATATTTTTTTTCTGTTCCCACTGACAAAATTGTATTTCATAATAAAGGTTTTTTTTGCTTTAATAAAATATCTGTAATACATCTGAGCATCATAGGTAACACTTGTCCTGGACACATCAGGAGATACAAATAAGGCAAACTGACCAGCTGTTTTTAAGCAACAAACAAAAAAAGTCATTTTAGACCATTTTTATGCATACCAGCACTTCAATACCAATTCAGCATTGATTATTTAGAAAGGTCAAGCAATGGTTTAATCAACAGAAGAAACAGGGGCAGAAAAGTATCAAAATTAAGGCAACGCCACAAACTGTGATTGTGTGTTGCACTGGAAAAGACTCATTTCACATAAAAGAAAGAAACAAAAGTGGTTGTTTTGTATTTTGTCTTTATCCCTGAGACCATGTTAGGCACATTGCAGTTAAAAGCTCATATCTAAACGAGTATTTTCCACCATTAGTACACTGTATTTCAACAAAGTTGTTAAAAGTAAGTAAAACAGTGGACGCTGAAAAAAAGAAAAAGAAAAAAAAAAGCACAATTGAACATCAGATCTCTTCGCTACTTGCAGTTTTCTGTCAGTCCCATTCTGGCATACATTTGAACCATTTGTCCAAGCGACCTTTCTGACGTAGTGCATCTTCGGTGGGTTCAGCATACTGATCACTTATGTCTTCAATACGAGTGATATATATCCGGGTGACTAGCACACCGAAGAACTAGACAGAGGGAATGAGAGAGAGAGAGAGAATCTTAATAAGCATGGTGGAAGAAAGGTGACTGTGGCTGCTTCTCATTAGTCTCATTTGTGTCTTTACCTTGTATCTAAGCCTCCCTAATGTAAGATATGAGAAAGAGATTAAAAGCAGAGATGTGAGGTGGAAGGAACAAAGGAAATGTGTGTTTAGATAAACTGGACATCCTTTGAAAGATCACCTGAAGCAACATCAGGCTGCTTTGTATGCTTCTGAGTTTGTCTTTGCAGAGATACAGAGATACAGTCTGCAATAAGGGCACGCGACTACTTCTGCCACATCTGTCCACACAACGAAATTGAGTGCGAAATCTCTCTGCTTCTGTTTCCCAAACGAGAACTAGCAAACTAGACACCTGTACCTCCTCCCAGCTTTGTTTTTTGTTTTTCAGGCCTGAAAGAAATCAGCTAATTATTAAATACAGGTCTGTGAATTCCAAGAAAGTCCATGTAAGCGATAAACCCTCTAAAAGGCTTTTATGTATAATATCTGTGCTTGTCTTATGGTAATGACTTAGAAAAAGATTACGCAAGAAGAAGAGGAAGGGCTTTCTAATTTTCATTTCTGAATTTTCTTTTTGACTTGTTTAAGTTTGTGCCTAATGCAGTTTTGAGGAATAGCTGACAAGTATCTGCACAGCCTTCACCAAAAAAATCTTTTCTACTTACTCTGCAAACGCATCCCAGAAATTAAGCTCACATCTCAGATAACAAAAGCACACATATCAGCAATACTTTAATCTATTTATTTATATTTAGAGCTGGTATTCGTTCCATTTGCTTTTTCATGATTGTGAAATTTGTCAGAATAATCTCAGTGAATCATAGAAATGAGAGGAACAAAAGTACTTTTAATCACATACACATTTTTGGATTGTTCACAGCCCAAAAATACACTTTGTGTATTTTTTTTCCATTTTAATATGTCTTGAATAAAACTTGCTTAATATTTATTTTATTATTTTTTATTAATTAGACCTACACTAACCACACGTCTAGAAATACACACAATTGGAATCTAAACTGGAAGCTGAGATGAAAATGACTTTTCCTGCTATATAGAGATTTCTGTTGAGTTAGATGAAATTTTCCACTTGGAACTAAACATTCGTAAGTAACCTCAAATATCTGACAGAGTGGGACACCAGATTAAATGTTGAGCATCACCTGAGAAATCAGGATGTGTGACAAAGAGCAAAAGAGAAGCACCTGTGTAATGAACCAGACGACTGACACCTTCTGCACAGCTCAGTGAAGTTCAACATGCTTATTAAAGTCCAGCACAGCCTACATTCATATATTCATAGCTGCCAGAGTGTGTGGATTATTAAATGTATGATTGTAAGAACAGTTTCTTCCCCTCTGCTGTTGGACACATGAACAATAACCGTATAACAATAACCGTATAACTGTTCCCACCACTAACACATGACCCTACGCTGTGTCACTGCATCATCTCATTTCATGTTTGGCACTGATCACCACCTGCACTCATGTATATATCTTTCTACGTAGCACTCATAATTCTTATTCTCATGTATATATCTCATGTATATCTCATGCACATATCTTTCTTTCTACATAGCACTTTAATTCTTATTGTTTGCACTGAAGCACCGCAGCAATTTCCTAATGTTGTAAACCTCAACATCTGGCAATAAACCCCATTCTGATTCTGATTCTGATTCTGAAAATGGGATTTATGAGGGTAGAAATGGCAAAGTAATGAAAACCAGCATCTGTGCTGTTACATCCACACTACCAAATGAATCTGGTTCAAGAAAAGGGAAGGATGAAGGAGTATAAGGTGTGTAGAGTGAATGAATAGTGTGCATTTGTAGATTTTGTTCTTTTAATGCTGGAAAAGAATAAAAGTCTGATTTAAAAAAGAAAATCTTTGGTCCATTTTAAGTTCAGAAAGAATATTTTCACTGTCAGATGTGCCTAAGGGGTGAAGCAATTTCCATTTTATTCCATTTGCTAATCTGGGTTTTGGATGATTTATTCCACTGAGCTCTAAAAGGTACACTCTATAAGTCTCTGCAAGCTGTTTTGGTAAATACAGAAGCAAATACAAGTTTGCCTTCTCAAAATCTGAAGTACAAATGACACATCACTGCAGCCACACCTATCACAAAAAGGTCAACTGAAAAACTGTACAACCTTGCATGAAATCTCATAGGACCTCTGTTTGGCCACCTCTAACATTATCTCCCTAACCTGTGGGGTTCCACAAGGTTCAGTCCTGGGTCCAGTATTATTTTCTTTCTACATGCTTCAGCTGGCATCATTTAGTATTTTAAATGACATTTCTTATCATTTCTATGGTGATGACATTCAACCATATATGTCTTTTAAGCTTCACCAGCTGGACCCACTGTTTAACTGGGTTTCGCTCTCTAGCAGTTGCCTTGTATTAAATGCCAACTTTACTGAAGCAATAATTATAGCACCTGAACTATATCTTAAAATCAGTCCGGCTCTTGCTTCTTTTGTTTCAAATGTAAAGTTCAGTGTTTGAAATCTCGGTACAATATTAGATTCTTCTCTGGTCTGCGCAGCTGAACCAAAAAACAAAACAAAAACAAACAAAAAAAAAACCCCCACAAAAGAACAACAATTCCCGCATTTGTGCTTAGATTATTGTAATGCCCTGTTTACCGGTTTTGACAGATAATCTCTCCAAGCTGTACAAAATACTGCGTCCAGACTATTAACGTGTTGATATTTAACAACACGTTCTAGAAATCAAGCTCACAACACTCCCACCTTATACTCAATAAATTAGCTCCCAAGATATTTTAGCATTTGTTTAAAATTCTTGTATTTACACACAGAGTGCTAAGTGGCCATGCTCCAGATTATTTATGTCATCTTGTTACAAAAGACACTGCTGCTGACTATCTCCATTTACAAGCTCAGAATTTTTTAGTTGTTCCTCGTACATGAATAAAGGCCAATGAGACAGTCTTTTTAGTCTACATTTGTTTTGTTTAAACAGGCTTTCTGTTGAGACTTTTATTACATTATTTATCTATTTGCCCATCTGTACATCTGTCTATACTTTTGTATTGAGTTTAAACATTTAATTGTTAAAAAGGTAAAGTAAAATTAAATGGTAATTGTTCCATAAACATCCATGGTGGGAATAAATACCAATAATGAAAATAAAACTCATTTAGCTACAAAGTGACATAAATAACTCCTCATATATAGCGCTACACATTAAAATATAACTTAGTCATCCTTGTCTCAGGTAAATCATACTAAACCAGCCTGTTTTTTGCAGCTAATGTTTTGTGTTAAATTGTGCTTCTAAAAGGTTTTTTCAGCGCATCTTTTTAAATCCATTTTCTGTCCCATGGGCAACAATTGAAAGATGTATGCCTCTACTCTGTGCCCCTCCCCTCCAGAGCACCGCACTTTTATTCAGACACCCTTTTGAAGAAGTTAATTGCTGTTGTTTGCACCCACCATCGACAGCTTTCCCGTCACCGCAATAATAACTGTATTTGTTTCGAACTTTTTAAAACACACAGTTACAAAGTGAGTCATAGTTGGGATAAAAACACATTAAAAATGAGTGTAAATATTTGCACATGCAAACAGAGTCAAGCACATGGTCTTTCATTCATTTCTGCATGAACACTCCTATACAAACATATTAGGAGAAGAAAAGGCCACAGATAATGGGAAAAGCTAACCTGTAAAAAATGAGTAGAAAGGTAAAGCATCTGTATCACTATCTCACTGTACACACTGTACAAATGTGTGTGTGTGTGTGTGTGTGTGTGTGTGTGTGTGTGTGTGTGTGTATACCTGAGGCACTAGGATCAAAAACAGAAGTATGATCATAATCTTATAATTGTCCAGCAGCCAGTAAATGAATGCACCGGTGCAGCCTCTGGTATAGATGTCAGGCAGTGGTTGATGCTGTGGGACACAGAATGTTAGAGTTAAATTGTTAAATGTTTGTCATTTTTATGTTTACCATTTGTACAGTGTTTTAACTCTGATGAAAGAAAGTGAAGAGGGAGCTGAGTGTAAAAGCGAAGCTCTCAATTTACCGGTCGATCTACGTCCCTACCCTCACCTATGGCCACGAGCTGTGGGTAGTGACCGAAAGAACGAGATCGCGGATACAAGCGGCAGAAATGAGCTTCCTCCGAAGGGTGGCTGGCCTCTCCCTTAGAGATAGGGTGAGAAGTTCGGCCATCCGGGAGGGGCTCAGAGTAGAGCAGCTGCTGCTCCACATCGAAAGGAGCCAGCTGAGGTGGTTCGGGCATCTGACAAGGATGCCCCCTGGGCGCCTCCTGGGTGAGGTGTTCCAGGCATGTCCCACCGGGAGGAGGCCCCGGGGCAGACCCAGGACATGCTGGAGAGATTATATCTCTCGGCTGGCCTGGGAACGCCTTGGTATTCCCCCGGATAAGCTGGAGGAGGTGGCTGGGGAGAGGGAGGTCTGGGCCTCTTTGCTTAGGCTGCTGCCCCCGCGACCCGGCCTCGGATAAAGCGGATGAAGATGGATGGATGGATGGATGGATTGATGAAAGAAATTCCACTGTCCTTCCCCCCAGATTCTCGAGGTTCTGGTGGGGCGCTGTAATGTTTTATTGGCAGATACATCCTATCGTGGAAGATCTGCTTCTTTTGATGTAAGCGTTCCCTGCGTTTACGACCCTTTAGGTCAGCAGGATCTGACACACACACACACTCACACACACACACACACACACACACACACACACACAACATCAGCAACCACATCACACCAACAACACAACCAACAACAACTCTTACAGAAGTTCACACATATACATAAAATGCTTTGTCTTAGAACCAAGGGGGCGTGGCTTTGTTCTGACGTGTTTTGTGTGAACTGTCTCTCAATAAAAGGCTAGCAGGAGGAGGTCAGATCTGGGGGTCATTTTCGTGGTGGACACAGACGAGGCCTCCCTTGCGCAAATAATATCGATCGACTGTCTTGTTTTCTTCATGATGAATAAGTCTCTAGAATTAGCGGGGCTTGTGGAAACACAGACCCAACACAGAACACTGGTGGTTAGTCCAATTTCAAAACTACAAAACGTCAAAGGCAGCTCCCTTTCCTTTCTTCCAACTGTTTAACTTTCTGGTCCTTGCTTATAATTAAGTCCATTACTTAATTATCTGACACTTGTCCTCAGTTGTGTGAGAGCGACACAGCACATCCAGAGTTATTGCTAAGAAACATTCAGCTGTCAATGAGATAAAAAGAACAGCAACTGCCAGTTTTCTGTCTGCAATTCCCAGTTTAAATGAACCTTCTGTGGATATAAAGCATACAACAGTCACAATGGATATTTCAGCACATAATAAAGTGGGAAGAGCTCATCTTTGTTTTATGACTTTGAGGTCTTACCTGGTCATCTAGAGCCTTGTACCCACACATAGTGTTGGGCACTTCATTATTCTGAAAGAGAAGTAAAATGTTTCAAATAAAAATTAACAGAAAGCTGTACAGTGTGGGGACAGCCAGGAGAATAAAAGCTTTTATCTAATCTAACGGTTTTATCTTCAGAACAGAGTCATCTGCAGCCTGCATCTTGTTGTATTAAAACTAAAATTAAGTGGAAGTAAAAAATAAACCTCTAAATTATTATATCCATGTTTGTTCGCAAAGATAAGTCTGCATTAAGGGCATATATGCTCTGCTCTACAGCATCCGTTGCCACTTATGTGAGTCATCTCTGGCAGGTAGGGATCGTTTTGCTATTTTCTCTCTGCCAAACAGTTTGTCAAGACCATTTTTATTCCACATAAAAATGCTGCTAGTCAAAGAAAGAAAGAACAAACTAACGAACGAAAGGTTTCTGTGTTTGACCCAACACAGAAACCTTTAAATGAAATGAAATTTTAGAGAATGTCGGATGAGATCAGTTTCATTAGTTCAGACAGTTCGTCAAACTGTTGTGTGTTTAGCTCGAGACTTTCTCTTTGTTCTCTTTGTCCTTATAATTACTGGACAGTGTAGGTGTACAGATTACAGGGAGCCTTTGCTACTTAGAGGTGGAGAAAATTGCCTGCACATGCCATGGCTAAGGCTTAATCACAATATAGGGTGAAGAGGTACATTTTAAATGTCACTCTGCATGCAAGAGCTATTACTTTAAGACCCAGACCCACAGACACTGGCAGCCACCGAGCACTAGAGAAAAATGTGCATTCCTTAATGCCAACCACTTTGCAGATGAAAATCAGAATTTCAGTTGTTTAGCAGTTGCTTGGGGCTGAAGGTTGAGGAAGGTGTCGCCGACAGATCTTTAGGCCTGTGTGTCTGAGAGCTTTAATGACACACACACACACACACAAATCCAAAACTAAAAAAAACAAATTCAGGAATAAACATGATAAAATTACAGATTAGTTGGTATCTAACTCTGATCTTCAGCTCTCACTGTGATTGTGAGACTGCATGCCCTCAGTGAGAAGGTGCCTTCCTGAGCAAATAAAATGCCAGCATCTCACAGTGTGTAATTTGTCTCTCAGAAGTGAAGCTGCGTGGGATTTTGGGAGTTCTCCTCAGCACAACTGCAGATCAAAAACCCTCTCATGAGACAGATGAGGATGTATCAAGATAAATTCACGCCACACTTTAGCCATTAAGCCATTTATTCACGTATTTTCACTTGAATATCACCCACCAGCAAACCTGGAATCTTTAGCTTTAACTAATCAGACTTTGTTCATTCCCACTGCAGCCACAAAACATCTACACAATTGTTTTTAAAAACCTCTTAGCATGAAGTGTTCATCAACTCCAGTGAAGAGACAGGTGTGTTAAATATGTGCAATCCTCTTTTACAGGGGACTTAATGTATTCTAGCTTCATATGTTTTATAACTGGACCCCATTAAAAATAGGTCAGCATGAGATACAGTTTAAGATGATAAACGCCAGTGTCATTTTGGTCTTTTAACATTTGGTTTACAAGTTTGAATGTATTTTAGGATTTTCTCAAATCCACACATATATTAAACTGGTCAACATTTCAAACCACAAATCAGTCTTGATGAGTGTTTGGGGTTATTGTCCTGCTGGAACACCCATCTGTGTCTTGGTTTTAAGTGTCTAGCTGTTGATTTGAGATGAAGCTGAAGAATTTGAAGGTACTCATCGATCATTATTCCATCTACTCTGTGTGATGTAATGTACCACAGGCAGCAAAGCAGCCCCAGAGCATGACACCATCGTGCTTGACAGTTGAAAGTTTGAAAACCTCAAGCTGTCACTATAGTCAAAAAGCTCAGTCTTTGACCATAAAACCTTTCTCCAAAAGGCATATGGCTTCCAGTTCACAGCAGATTTGAGCCTCGGTTTATTCTGAACATCCTACAACCAATTTCTTCTTATGTGATGATGACAGTTTTGGCATTCTTCCAGATAAATTGTGCTTACATAGACCCGTCTGAACTGATGATCTGCAGTTGTTTAGAAATGGCTCCAAGCGACTTTTCCAACTTGTCCAAATCTACTAGTCTCCACTTTAGATTTTTGCTGAATTCCTTGGATTTCCCTTGTTCTGAATATTGGTCAATCTGATGAGTGCTGTCAAACAAATCTTTTTAATGCTGATAAAAGAAAAACTACTGGTTGTAGTCAGTGCAATATAAGTTCAAATTCAAACTTGTGCACCCAATTCTTGTCCCCCCCCCAAACGGTCATTAAAAACAAAAGCTGTTCAAAGAAACCATTAAATGCCCTAAATTTCCATGACATTCATGCCCATGATGGATGTAAACGTCTACCCACAAGTAGTTTCTAAAAAAAACAAAACATAATTTAAATGTTATATACTTGTAATTATAATAAAAATGTTTTAAATGTAGTAGCTGAACATAAATTGTGTTATAGCAGTATTATCAGAAGAGGCAGAAGCAGTTAGCATCATGCATAGAAACTGGTAATACAAGAGGTATTATTGCAACAAGAAAAGCATATATTGTACCAGCTGATGTAGTGGTAAGACCATCAATAATGACACCTACCTTAGTAGTAACACAGCAGGTATATGGGACACCGCAGGCTAACGGACCAGGCGCACTACAGTTGTGGTACATGTTGACTTTCCAGTCTTTAAATTCTTCACCTCCACAACACTTAAACTGACAAAGAGGAGAAAGATGACAATATTAAAGGTAAGAAGGAAAAGGAAAGTGGTTTTAAAACACAGGAGAGACAGAGAGAGTCAATAAGTAACTAACTATGTGAACATGATTCATTCTGTTGTGCTGGTATGATGCCAAAAGTAGCATTTTAGGATGAAATTAATCACAATTAACAACATTTGGCATCCGGTTAGTATTTGATTCTCTCTCACACTTTTCCTTTCAGCCAGAATTTCAAAGGAGCAGATCGAAGGGCTTTCCCCTGAAGAAGTGACGTTTCCCTGTACAAAATATTTTACTGAGCTGTTTACAAGACAAATGAGGTAAACTATACCATCAATATTCACATTCAGATGCAGCTGTGTTTACTATCCAAATACAATTTTCCACTGGTGGCAAATTTATTTGACTGTGCAAACACAGCTTCCCCCTTTCATTCCTTCTACCACATTCTTGAAAAGGTCGGTAGGTGTTGTGATATTTGCACATATCCAAAAACCTGCTTATATCTACTTCCTTCATTACTTTTAAGAGCAGATGCATTTTTCCTTCCCACTAGAAATGTAAGCTCTTCCTCGGGGATGCATCTTTGTCCCTGTCTTGTAAAGTGCTGGCCTGTTTGTGTACAAAATACTCAGAGCCGACTCCGGCACAAGTCCATCCATCTGTCTATCCATCCATTTCCTTAATAACTAATCCAATTCGGAGTCACGGGGGTTTTGGGCCCATTTCAGATGTCATTCAGTGAGAGGCAGGATACCACCCGGACAGGTGGCTCGTACATCACAGGCCATGTATCAGAATTTATGTTAATATTCAGATCTGAGGAAAATATTCCCATTTCGAAAGAAAACCTGAAAATACAAAATACTTCACCAGGAGGAGATAAAAGGACTAATTTGGAATACTCAAAGAGAATTTGCTGCTTCACTGACCTGCATCAAATTTGGAAATTATCATCTTCACAAGAACAGTGAATCATTATGTGTCATCACCTGCAGCCACGTGTTGTGGGATCAACAAGTGGCTGCAGAGGCTGCACCAGTCATTTTTACTGCCCTCTTCTTTTGCAAACTCTCAAGAGACTAAAGAAACCTAAACAAATCAACAGCAAACAAACTTGGGAAAACACATTAGCGTTGGTAAGACAACAACGTATTTAATAAAGTTTTAAGTCTTCTTCAATATACAAACAACACAAAATCCAGTATAATACACAAAAGCTCTGTTCATTTGTTTCCAAACTCTTCCTAAATGATCAGCAGTTGTGCAACCAGAGTTGGCACACAGGTACATCTTGGGACCCTGAAGGTTTTCACATCATTACATTGCCTAGCAACCACCTACCAGCAAGCTTAAATGACCCATTCATACTGTTTATGCACATAACATCTAAATTATATCCAGATATACTTAAATAATGTGTGACATTTTATGATGGCTTAACATTGCCTAGCAACCAACTAGAAATGGACTAAAATGACCCATTTGTAGCATTTATCTAGCTCCAAGACCTATGAAAAGCCTAATATTGTTTTATTTCATAAAAATAACATTAATTTACATCCATGTAAACCTGAATTGCGCACAATTTATTATGATGTCATGTTTCCCAGCAACCACCAACCAACAAGCCAAAATGAGAATTTGTAGTGTTTATGCATCTACAACATAAGAAAAGGTGGTTCAGGGGGCATTTCCTAAGCTTTCTGTGTTTATTACTTAGGCAATCAGTTTATTTGTTTCATTTAGCTCTTCTTACATTTGCTGAAGGCACAAATGTGCACTTTCTTTGCTCAGTTTTCATCGTACAGGGTGGAAAAGTTGCCACACCGATGCTTTGGTGTGCTGAACTGTATTTCCCATTTTCATCCAAAGTGACAATAACAGTGACAGTTTTTAAGGTAGTGCTGAAGAACAAACTCACTGTTAAAATAGGGTATAAGCCTTAAATTGGCACTTCTCATTATACAAGAAATGCAAATGAACTTGTCATAGCAGTATCGCCTCAGTTAACAATTAGCATTAATGGGATACAGCTGTTAATGGAGTTACGCCTGTATTTGACTAGCATAAGAAAGAAAAACAAAATTAGACCCAATATAAATGACATCTGGTACCAAAGGATTTTCAATATCTGAATATAAAAATGGGAAAAATGTCTCAATTGATGGCACTCGGAGTAAATTACAGCTGCCGTTTGACATCTCAGTTATTTTTGTTTGATTTGCGCTTTCACTTGGGGTAGATAGCAACTGCACAGCTGCCTCAGAGAGTAAAGAATGAGCGAAGCAGAGCCCAATACTGGTACCTCTGCTTGGTAGTCACTTATTGAATCTAATATTATATTTGGAGGGAGAACATGAGGCAGAAAGAGAGAATGAGACAAGAGATAAAGATGGACGATGAATAAATGAATAGATATGAGAGCGCTCTTTGTCAGGCAGTGTCATCAGTATGCTGATATGATGCCAGTCTGCCAAAGCAATACTCCCTCCTCTGTTGGTGTGATTCTGCACAGCTGCTTTTCCAGCACTGGGTCAAGACCCAAAGAAAGGTCACACAAAAAAAAAAAACCAAAAAAAAAAAAAAAACAGAAAAAAAAAAAAAAAAAAAAAAAAAAAAAAAAAAAAAGCCACAACAACAAACAAAAACTTAATATAAGAACACAGAGTTCTCAGTGTGGTAGGTGCAACAGTGCAGTATCGCCCAATCTAATCCCGTCTATGAGCAGACTGTTCAATTCATCACGCAGCCTCATGAGATAAAAATGAAGCATCTTTTCAAAACACGTCCATCTCCTGAGATTCTGATGTGACGTGTGAGAGTGATGGATGGATTACACAACAGTTTGTTTACTAAAGTTGAAATTGAAATACAAATTTATTTAAAAGTGATGTGACACATTTATTTTTATGACCCTCACTGGTGACAGTCATGACCGAAGCCATTATGTTCTAGGGTTGTCCATCTGTCCGTAGCAATTAAACTGGCAACCTCGACAATTACAGAGCCTTCATGGAGTAATTGTTAAATCAGTTCCCTTCACTTCTCTCTCTTTTCACCCGCAGTGTGTGGCTGAAGGAATTCTGTGTGTTTACATCCTCATGAATGTGACATGTCAGGAATTTGTATAAACATTAATTGGTCAAAAAGTCACCCTCACAAAATATTTAGCTGAGCTGGTTTGCAGAGGTATACAACAATAAGCTGGTAGCTCGAGTTTATTTTATTATTATTTTTATTGTGACTAAATTTCCAAAAGTTTCCTGGAATTAAATATTTGCAGAATAAGCGACTAATTTTGTGACTGTCCAGCTGACTGATGACGAGCTGCTTGCATGCAGACTGTGACTAATCGTATGGTTAAGTCCCCCTCTGAGCCAACCGCTCAAAGCGTGGGTTGCAATTACAGCAACATAATGAGCGCGTGATTACAGGTTAAAGACTGAGGTGTTTTTTTTCAAAAAGTTTGCTAAACTTTTCAGGATCACTTACTATTGTTACTGTATTAATAATAACCATAATTATGACTTTATTTATATAACATTGTTCAAGCTCCACATTACAACGTGCTTCACAGGAGCAACAGAATAAAACAGAAGTAACAAATAGAGGGGAAAAAAAGACACTTTAAAGTAAATTTAAGGGGAGGGAAAAGCTTTCTCATCAAAGTATTTTTTAAAAGATGATTTCAAGGAAGTGACTGACTCACATACACACACACAAACATACACACACACACTAACATTATCACTCAGCTTAACTCAACTACCTCAAAACATTGAGACTGGACTGACTAATCAACACAAGCGCAAACACACTGACCTACACCACCAAACCATCGTACACACCAACCTGTAAATGCTCTTTTGCACAATATTATTACTGGACTTTTTGCACTAACTTCTGCACTTCCTAATTTTTGCTGCTACACTAAGGAATGTTTACTGTTCCTCCACTACCTCAACTCATCATCACAAAACCTTCTTATTATGTTACGTTGTGGGGTTTTTTTTGGTTTTTTTTGTCACACTGTCACTTGCTGCTCTTGTTTGCACATTTGCACGTGCACTTTGTTGTCTGCTGTCTGATAACAAAAAAAAGTCATCCTTAGATAGATAGTTTTTTGTTAATTTATGTTAGGTCAGTCTGTCTTGTCTCTGCTAGCCAGCTAACTAGGCCTCTTAGTTAGCTAGTTTAGGGGTTTTCTGTTAAATTATGTTGTAAATTTATGTTGCATGTAGCACCTTGGTTCCTGGAGGAACGTTGTTTCGCCTCACTGTGTACTGTTAAACTGTATATGGTTGAAGTGACAATAAAGCCAACTTGACTTGACTTGATTTTGCCAGACAGGTTGTTTCAGATTTGTCCCTTTGAGTTTTCAGTTGGGCCCCTGGAACAGGCAAAAGACCTCTGGTGCATATGGTAATTACTAAGAGGTCAGAAATGTAGCTTGGAGCAAAGCTATGAAAGACTTTAACAGAAATCAGTAAAATCTTAAATTCAATGCTAAACATTGTGTAAAAAGGTAAGAGAAATGTGATCTTGTCTCCTCGTTCTAGCTGAAAGTCTGGCAGCTGAGTTCTGTAGAGTCTGATTTAATTCAGTAGAATGACATTCACAAGGATCTAGAGGTTGGCCATCTCCTGGCAGCCTCTTTTTCTACAAAAATATTTTGCCCAACAAAGTTGACGAATGGTTTGCAGCTGTCACTGAAAGAGGTTGCTGCACCAAAAACTTGCATATAATTCTTTTGTTCACTAACAGATTGCTGCAGTTGCCCATAGTTTGCATGGAAGATGGCAACTTGTATGCAAACACTTGCTAATGAAACACTGAACAGTTGTGAAAAATTTGAAGTGTTTCTGGCTTGCAACTCATTCTTCAAAGTAAACATTGTGCCTTAGAACTAAATCCAATGTATTTTTCTTATATTTTCACTACTGCTTGGAGATTAAGTAGTGAGAGTTTGCAAAGACGTTGACGCCTTCCAT